CGTGTAAAGGACTAAGTGTGAGCTTATCTCACTAAACAAGTACTGCTAAGCAGTATTGAAAAGCGTCTTTGATTGTTCTATAAAGTCATCGGCGCTTTGTTTGAGTCTCAAAATATTCACTCATCAGTCAAACAGGAAAGTTTATATTTTTTTCACTGTTTTGCCTAATAATAAAAATTGACCAAGTATGTTTTAATTAGACAGTACATCAAGCATTACAATGCAATGTATTGTAGGACAGTTATATTTTTATTTAAAAGCAAAATTAATTAGCTTGCAATTAAAGAACTTCACTCGACACTCCAATTTTCCTCGGGATGTTTCGCATATATCCATATCAGTCTTTCAATAAAAAAAAAAAAAACAGCAAAAGTAACTGTTCTTTGATGAGAACTTAGCTCTAAGTACTGTTATCAGAATATATTCTGTTTATCCTTCCTGGTGCTTATCTGCATCATTTTCAAAATTTACACTCATCAGTCAAACACGAGATTTCTCTCTTTTTCAATCTTTCATATACCCAAACTAGGCGTTGCATAAGATAATAAACAGCAATGAGAAAATTGTCGAAAAATAATCCGACGTTTTTACTGCATTGTTAATTTAGATTCGTATGAAAGAGAACAATCATATAAGAAAATGTGAATGAATATACTCCATCCAGTCTATTTTTCAAAACTTTTTTAAAAATAAAAATATATTAGAAAATATGTTAATTTACACCTTATTGTCATTACCATACTGTAAAACAAAAATGGACTTCATTTTATCGATTGACATTGCATTGTAGTGCAGTGCAATAATGTGCAGTTAAATTCTTATTATGGTAAACAGTATATATTCTCTTGCAAACAGAAAAATCGACTCATCAGTCAAAAAGAAGTGTTCATTTCTGTTGGATCTTTTGCGCATACTCAAACTAGTCATTCCGCCGAAATATGGCTGAAATATTGCCGACTCGGCGTAAAACAACAATAATCAATCAAACTAGTCATTCGATAAAAAAAAAAAAAAAAAAAAAAAAAAAAATCGACAAAAAAGAGCATAAAATGAAAAAGTGTGTGTATTCAATCAGTTTTTGAATTCAACTAAGAAAAAAAATTGACTAAGTTAATTTTGATTGGACAATTTGGCAGGCATCACAATGTATCGCATTGTATTGCAGCAGAGTGCAGGATGGTGCAATTCTACTTGTATTTAAACAAGCACAATTATTTCACTAGTCAATGTATTAGAAATATTCCCCACCATCCACCCTCCAAAAACAGCTTTTATATACAATTTTTCCTTATGATTGAATGTTTATTTGGAAATTTGCATAATGTAAGTTTTGTTTCAAAGTTCGATAACTCAAATTATGTCCCTTTGAACAGCGTAGACAAAACGATCATTGATTTCTGCTTTATATTATGTAAATGTTTAAGCAACGCTAACAAGTAACAGGCTTGTATACTATATATAAGACGTTAGAGAGACATTCACAAATGACCATGTGTTAAAGTCAGAGTAAATAACCGTTACGGGTAACGTCGCGTGTAAAGGACTAAGTGTGAGCTTATCTCACTAAACAAGTACTGCTAAGCAGTATTGAAAAGCGTCTTTGATTGTTCTATAAAGTCATCGGCGCTTTGTTTGAGTCTCAAAATATTCACTCATCAGTCAAACAGGAAAGTTTATATTTTTTTCACTGTTTTGCCTAATAATAAAAATTGACCAAGTATGTTTTAATTAGACAGTACATCAAGCATTACAATGCAATGTATTGTAGGACAGTTATATTTTTATTTAAAAGCAAAATTAATTAGCTTGCAATTAAAGAACTTCACTCGACACTCCAATTTTCCTCGGGATGTTTCGCATATATCCATATCAGTCTTTCAATAAAAAAAAAAAAAAAGCAAAAGTAACTGTTCTTTGATGAGAACTTAGCTCTAAGTACTGTTATCAGAATATATTCTGTTTATCCTTCCTGGTGCTTATCTGCATCATTTTCAAAATTTACACTCATCAGTCAAACACGAGATTTCTCTCTTTTTCAATCTTTCATATACCCAAACTAGGCGTTGCATAAGATAATAAACAGCAATGAGAAAATTGTCGAAAAATAATCCGACGTTTTTACTGCATTGTTAATTTAGATTCGTATGAAAGAGAACAATCATATAAGAAAATGTGAATGAATATACTCCATCCAGTCTATTTTTCAAAACTTTTTTAAAAATAAAAATATATTAGAAAATATGTTAATTTACACCTTATTTTCATTACCATACTGTAAAACAAAAATGGACTTCATTTTATCGATTGACATTGCATTGTAGTGCAGTGCAATAATGTGCAGTTAAATTCTTATTATGGTAAACAGTATATATTCTCTTGCAAACAGAAAAATCGACTCATCAGTCAAAAAGAAGTGTTCATTTCTGTTGGATCTTTTGCGCATACTCAAACTAGTCATTCGATAAAAAAAAAAAAAAAAAAAAAAAAAAAAAAAAAAAAAAAAATCGACAAAAAAGAGCATAAAATGAAAAAGTGTGTGTATTCAATCAGTTTTTAAATTCAACTAAGAAAAAAAATTGACTAAGTTAATTTTGATTGGACAATTTGGCAGGCATCACAATGTATCGCATTGTATTGCAGCAGAGTGCAGGATGGTGCAATTCTACTTGTATTTAAACAAGCACAATTATTTCACTAGTCAATGTATTAGAAATATTCCCCACCATCCACCCTCCAAAAACAGCTTTTATATACAATTTTTCCTTATGATTGAATGTTTATTTGGAAATTTGCATAATGTAAGTTTTGTTTCAAAGTTCGATAACTCAAATTATGTCCCTTTGAACAGCGTAGACAAAACGATCATTGATTTCTGCTTTATATTATGTAAATGTTTAAGCAACGCTAACAAGTAACAGGCTTGTATACTATATATAAGACGTTAGAGAGACATTCACAAATGACCATGTGTTAAAGTCAGAGTAAATAACCGTTACGGGTAACGTCGCGTGTAAAGGACTAAGTGTGAGCTTATCTCACTAAACAAGTACTGCTAAGCAGTATTGAAAAGCGTCTTTGATTGTTCTATAAAGTCATCGGCGCTTTGTTTGAGTCTCAAAATATTCACTCATCAGTCAAACAGGAAAGTTTATATTTTTTTCACTGTTTTGCCTAATAATAAAAATTGACCAAGTATGTTTTAATTAGACAGTACATCAAGCATTACAATGCAATGTATTGTAGGACAGTTATATTTTTATTTAAAAGCAAAATTAATTAGCTTGCAATTAAAGAACTTCACTCGACACTCCAATTTTCCTCGGGATGTTTCGCATATATCCATATCAGTCTTTCAATAAAAAAAAAAAACAGCAAAAGTAACTGTTCTTTGATGAGAACTTAGCTCTAAGTACTGTTATCAGAATATATTCTGTTTATCCTTCCTGGTGCTTATCTGCATCATTTTCAAAATTTACACTCATCAGTCAAACACGAGATTTCTCTCTTTTTCAATCTTTCATATACCCAAACTAGGCGTTGCATAAGATAATAAACAGCAATGAGAAAATTGTCGAAAAATAATCCGACGTTTTTACTGCATTGTTAATTTAGATTCGTATGAAAGAGAACAATCATATAAGAAAATGTGAATGAAAATACTCCATCCAGTCTATTTTTCAAAACTTTTTTAAAAATAAAAATATATTAGAAAATATGTCAATTTACACCTTATTTTCAATACCATACTGTAAAACAAAAATGGACTTCATTTTATTGATTGACATTGCATTGTAGTGCAGTGCAATAATGTGCAGTTAAATTCTTATTATGGTAAACAGTATAAATTCTCTTGCAAACAGAAAAATCGACTCATCAGTCAAAAAGAAGTGTTCATTTCTTTTGGATCTTTTGCGCATACTCAAACTAGTCATTCGATAAAAAAAAAGAGAGACCATTTACACGTAACTTTGCGAAAGTCCTTCGGCTTAATTACTGATTGTTAATTCTGATTCATATCAAAGAAAACAAATGTTTAAGAATATGGGAATAAGAGAAATGCTCTCTAGTCTGTTTTTGAAACCTTTATTTCAAAGCATAAAATGAAAAAAAAGTGTGTGTATTCAATCAGTTTTTAAATTTAACTAAGAAAAAAAATTGACTAAGTTAATTTTGATTGGACAATTTGGCAGGCATCACAATGTATCGCATTGTATTGCAGCAGAGTGCAGGATGGTGCAATTCTACTTGTATTTAAACAAGCACACTTATTTTACTAGTCAATGTATTAGAAATATTCCCCACTCAAATAACTCAAATTATGTCCCTTTGAACAGCGTAGACAAAACTATCATTGATTTCTGCTTTATATTATGTAAATGTTTAAGCAATGCTAACGAGTAACAGGCTTGTATACTATAGAGACATTCACAAATGACCATGTGTTAAAGACAGAGTAAATTATAATTATGTTAATTTACACCTTATTTTCAATACCATAATGTAAAACAAAAATGGACTTCAGTTTATTGAATGAATGTTATTTGTTCACTCATTTTCTTTTGTCCCGAACTTGGCTCAGACTTTTTGCAGTCATTGACCCTCAGAGGAATAGGAAGTTTTTCTGATATATATATACACTGTACATCTATAGCAAGTTGAAAGACAAAATTGTGGAATGATACTCTGCATATGAGTCATTGATCTCCAAAAGAATTAACATTACAATTGTTTACCAAACTCTTTACAACAAAGTGATGGAGAGGGCATACAGTAGTATCCACGACAGTCGCACATACAAGCTATTTTATCCTCTTCTAAATATATTGTAAAGGGAGAAAAACCGAAGATAGTTGTCAACTCAAGGAAGAAAAAGATGCAAGTCTATGTTAAATATTTATTCTTCATGAAGTTCCATTCTTAAACAAATTAGTAAAGATATACTAACAGCAGGATGATTATTGAATATTTTTGCACAAATCAAGAAGATGATTTGAATTTGTCTACATCCATGCATACCTTTCCTCTGAAATAAAGGTAATATAATGTTAACCATATACATGTTAAATTTTTCAAGTGTTTGTATGTGTTACTTTGCACATTCTAATGAAGTACAGGTAAATTAAACCGAACAATGATAGAAATAATATGATTTTGCAGCCTTTGAAAAATTAACATCAACAGCCAATTTTTAAAGTTTCAGAAAGGCAAGAAATATGTTTTACGACAAGCAAATGACTGAAAAGAACTCACGCCTTCTGTATCGTTTTGGGACTACCTTCAGTTCTTCAAGCCTCTGAAAGGGAAATACGTCTTCAACACAAAGTAAATGTACTAAATGATTGGCAAGCGTAGAAGCAATTAATTTTAGGTCTTGCTTTAAATCAAAAATAGATAGTTCTGAACTGTAAGGTATAAATTCTTCTGAGAAAAAAAGGCAAAAAAAAAAAAATAATAATAATAATAAAATAAAGGCGTTATAACAGGAAGAAAAAAAAGTAGTAACACAAAAAAGGCGTAATTTAGTGAAAAGGTTTATTACGCCTTTCAAAAACATGTAATAACGTGTAAAAAGGCCTTCATGTATAATAATGCGAAAAAATGCCTTATACTAGTATTACAAAATGAAAAGGCCTTATAAAACGAAGTGATTCATAATGAGCAATTAGCCATTTGCCATTTTTTTTTTAAAGATTTGTGCCTAAAAGATCCAGAGTTCAGACAAATGCGATGCATTTAAATTGTCATTGCAGCAGGCAAACGGTTAATTTGCATGATTTTTAATGAGTGTTCTTAATTAAACTCTCTAACCAAGTTTGGGCTAGATTGGTCAAAAATTTAAAATTCATATATACTTTTGAAGTCATTTAAACCTGGACATTTACTTAAGCAACTGTATGCGTAGTGATAATGGCAATAAGTTACGAGTCCTGTGCTTTGATCCACGTAATTATGCCTTTTGAAAGGCGTCATAACGTCATGTGACTTTTTAAAAAAAGCAAAATAAGACCCGTTGTCCAGTTCTTACGCCTTTTTCTCACGCTTTGTATAACACATTTCCACATCGCGCCTTTAAACTTTTGTAGTTCGATCGTTGTAGACTTGTAATTTGTAATCAGCTTATTCTAATTAAGCGGATTATCGTTCCTCAGTGGTGTCAGTATCGAAAAAGTTAACTTTTCCAGAATGCAATTTCTGATTTTTTGCAATAAAAATTATTTTAGTTGTCAAGTTTTAACCTATTTTTTTATATTACCTAAATAAAAAGCAGTTTGTTAAATCAGAGAAAGACGTACATGTTGTCTGCGCTCTGTCCAGGCGGACGACGAGCCAAACCACGCATCGCTGGACGAGCACGTATTCCGACGGCGGCGCTCATTGTACTTCTTCCGCACCTGAAAAATGGGACAAAGAAAAAAAAATCATGTTTGTTTTAAATTCTTTCAATGTTAATGGGAAAGAATGACCGAATGTTTTACTTACAACGTTGTTGCACAAGCAATGCAGGAAAAAGATCATTGTGCCCTTGGAAAAGAAAAGAATTCCTTTGGTGAGCTTCACATGTAACGTTTAAGATTTAACAATGTACTAGTATACGATTTTAAAAAATGGAGTATATAAATTACGAATTTCAGACAATATAAGAGAAACAGTTTTAATATCCCAGTGTCTTTTGATTTCCAATGAAATATGAAGATAACAAACAGTATTCAATCTCGAAAGTTCAATGAAACGATACAAATTGGAGCAGAGCAAACACGGACTTCAAATTTAGAGGTGGGATCAGGTGCCATGGAGTGAGCATCCCCTGCCGACCGGTCACACTCGTCGTGTGATCCTTGTCATGATCGAAAAAAAAACCCGGAAAAATCCGTAGGCAGTTTAGTGTTTAAATAATGGCCTAACAATTAGCATGAAAAAGTCACTCAGCATTTGACTCAATGATAGGCTGTTTGTGCTGACAAGGTCATTGTATCGACCATAAAACTTGCGAAATGATGACTTCAAACGAGACCATTGATACCCTTGTTTCATCAATTTGTTTGTCAATAGCTTGTCTCGTTTTACAAACTGTTCATACGTAGAGCATGCTCTTGCGCATTGAATCAACTGAGAGACATAAACCCCATATGCAGGTGATAAGGGCATATTGCTACATAAGTAATGGAAGTTGACGATTGAAAAGTTGAAGTTATCATAAAGCTTTGTTGTTAGGTTACCATTAGCGTCTTTTTCTAGTAAAATATCTAAATATGAAACAGATGTGTCAGACTCTGTGGTATCTTTTATTTCAAGCTCACTGGGATATATCGAGTCCAATTTTTCGACATATGAATGGAAGTAACTATTGTTAATTGATAACACGTCGTCGGTATATCGAAATGTTGAGTTGAATGCCACAGCAAGTGTTTTCTTCTTCTCAGTTCTCGTGTAGAATTTTTTAAATAAAGTCTGCTTCAATTGAAATACAAAAATAGGTCTGCTTATAACGGGGCGCAATTGGTACCCATATAGGAATTCCAACAGATTGTTGGAAGACATTACATAGATATTGTCAATCAAAAATCAAGCGTCTTTTTAATATCAACTTCAGAGTACTTTTGTGTACAATCAGAATGTTTTTTAACAAAATAATTTTGCAAATGACCAATAACAAGGTTAGTATATTTACGAGTTCCATTTTTTGAAAAAGCTGTCTGTGATGTCAAAAGGCCTAGATTTCAATATAAGATTGAAAATGATCATGTGGCAATAATCATTTTCTATTACGGACTGAAATCGATAACCAAGTCTATTTTGCACAGGTGAGGTTAGAATATTTCAACGGTACAAACAATTAAAGAAAAAAAATTGTGAATCTCTCCCCCATTTCAATACAGACCTGCATGGAGGTCCCGATAATGAAGAAGTAGTGAAACACGTGACTGAGAGGAACAAGTATCCCCAACAACCAGGTCACCCCTAGGATCGGCAATAGTGTCACCATCACCTTAAAACTAGCACTGTTGGTATAAAAAAGACAAACTAGATTAATCAACCTTCATTCAAAGTTAGTGTGTTCTATGTGTTGTGGTTTGATTTATTTGTGACTTACAAAAGTCTAGCTGCCTCTGTTTTTCTTGAGTTTGTTCGCAAGGTGAGAAAAGCCTTCAGAACCAAACCAAGTACAACAATATTCATCTAGGAAAAAGAAAAACAAAACTTAAAGAATGATGAATGCATTTTTAAACTAGCTCATGAAACCTGAACTATGCTATGCACACTATAAATGGAAAAGAAAAAGTTTTGCTTGTTTTTAAATTTTGAAAAAAAAGGATACATATATTTTCTGTTCTGGTTTTTACAGTATAGCTGAAACTGAGATATATATATATATATATTATTCAAATTAACTTTGCATCGTTCTTTCCAGAGAGGAGTTCTAGTCAGATATTGACATCACACCACAACAGGCAAGTTTCGCAAAACATGATGACGTAAGAGTATTATTCTCATTCACAATTAATTTCAGTGGACAATTTTTAACTAATAGTAATTTTCACACAGCATTCACGTACCACAACAATTGCTATCATGGGTCCAACAAAAGACCATATTAATCCGTCATCTATTGACAACCAACAGCTGTAACAAGAAACTGCAGTAAGTGAATTAATTTATGAAAAAAATGCCTTATATCTTTAGATCTACATGTTCGCAAGATTGTTTTATGTTGAATTTCTTTCTTTATAAACAATTAATTGTAAATCAATAATGAGCGAGACAAGTCTTAGAGCAGGCAGTGTTATATCTTCGTTTACAAAATTACATGCAGACACCTTTGGCATTATGTTCGGCTATCTCTGTAATATTTTTTTTTTTTTTGCAAAATTCACCTGCTGTATTCGCCTTCTCCATAGTCTTGGAAATTGCTGCCAAGTGTAATCAAAACGATAATGGCGGGAAGTCCCCAGCCAATCAGTGAGTAGATCATGCGCATGTCGCCATACGCGCTGATGGGTCTTGTGCAGGATAGGTATAATGCTAATCCTTCTACCATCATCCAAGCAAAAGCGGACATAAACAAGTAGTGAAGAAGGGCAGTCACAATTTTACAGGCGGCCTGTAGTAAAATCAAGCAAACCAACTATTATCCGTCATTTATCTTACAAACCCAGTTGGGTCCATGCAAATTAAATGTACATGTATATATAGGCCTACATGTATACCATTTTCTTTAAAATAAGTACATTGTTTGTTGCCATTAGATTGTACAACATACATGGAAAGAATATGTACAACTTATAATGACTTTTAATTAATACATTAATTTTTTTATTGATAGTACCATGTATTTGGCAGCCCCATCTGATGTAACAAGCACCAACTGACCAAGCATCAAAGCTATTGACAGATTGGCGTGAATCAACACTGTATCATTGCTCAGAACCCTGGAAAGCGAAAGTTTGATATTCTTCAGAAGTTCCGAGGTAACATTCAAGATGTTTGTGTGTGCATGATGCAAAAAATCAATTTTGGTAAGTACCCCCCCCCCCCCCCCAATAGATTTTCAATACCAAGTAATATCCACGTACAGTAAAACTCGTTTAAAAAGAACTCGATTATAAAGAAATCTCCGTTATGAAGATTTTTTTTACAAATCCCGTAAAGGACTTTTCACTAGGTTCCTTATATCCATATAAAGAATCTCCGTGACGCGGAAGGATAATCCGAGGTCCCATGATTTCCTAATAACCGTGTTTTACTGTACATGTAGCTCATTACTCTAATACACCAGTAAGTCAGATTAGATTCTTGAAATTATCTTGGAAAACAATCAATGAGATATATATTTATTGTGGTAGAGAAATCATGACAGATTCTGGATACCTAAGATACACGTATATAATCAGAGTGAGCGCTAAGCAGGCAATAGATATACTGCAACCCAGAGTTGTCATTATATACAACACATTCTGGTGTTCCTTCGTCATCTGAAAAAAAAAACAAACCTTTAATGATTAGCATAAATTGTGACATTCATATAAAGCTCCTGTGCATGTTATTTTTAAGTTGATTTCATACACTACAGGACAACAAAAAGTCCATTCTATTTTTAACATGATTGCTTATACATGTAAATCCGTGCATCATTGGCTTTGATGCTCAAATGACAATGGAAAAAGTCGAGTCGCCAATCTTTTAACCAAAAGCATCTACTAAACGCCAAAGTGTAAATTGTACAAGATTATCGGTTCCTTTGTAAAACTTTAATTCAGTCCCTCAGTCCTCGTTTTAAAGATGCCGAAATGTCTAATTTTACATTTCTTTATTATCTACTTGCAAAATTTTTACGTATTTATGCAAATACGTTCTTGTAACTATTTACCGGATCCTCTGGCTTGTAGTAGAGGACTAAGACTGCTAGGTTGGTCAGATGGTCATATCTACATTTTGTGTGGGTATCATTCTTTTCTACCACTGTACCTCCGTAAGTGTCCCAGTATCTTAAGAGAATTAAAAATTGATTCATGAATTATGAATTGAGAGATATGATCATAAGTAGGTAAACTAACACGAGTGTGTGAATAATAAAATTTCTGATTTACAATATCTAGGTTTTAGTCATGTTGTAAATGGATAAATTAAAAATACCTTTTCTGAAAATTCCAAAACGTGCAAAACCTTTCCTTTTCCACCTGTATTTTGATATTAAAATATAACAGTTATGAGTGTGCTAATACATCATTCGAATAACATTTTATCGATAACATTGTTATGAAAAATAATATTCTCCCCAATATCTGTTTTCGTGTAAAATTTTATTAAATTGTTACCCCTGTTACATTTGTAGGAAGAACAATAGTGATGGCGCCTGTGACGTTGACTTCCGCTTTCTCAGTTTGGTTCTTGTTGATGTTCTGGACCGACACAGACATAACATTACTCCCGATTTTGGCATAGTTGTAACCTTTCTTAACGCTCCATTTCTGATTTATGGTTTTGTAAATGATGGTTGAGACACGAGCTAGTGAGTGCAAAATAATGTTGATGGTCATAAAATATCCTGAATCGATAAGTTATCTATATTTGTTTTTATGAATGGATGCAAATTAGAATGGTTATCATATTTTGTAATAAAAAATGACAGGATACTCACAAGTTTCGCCGTCGAATACGGTAATGGGCATAACAATAGTTCCAACTATTGAGCTAATTGTGATGATGTCACCATTACTCAAATTTCGCTCCACGTATGATACAGAAATATCTGGTAATGATGTTTTAAATAATGTTTTTACATTTGGAAATGAAAAGCAAGATATTCATTCTTCAACAGCAAGAATTAATCGTAAGCTTAATAAATTAAACATACCCATCTCGGATGTTTCCATAGAAATATTTTCATTAGGAGAAGCGGACGATAAAACGTTTTCCATGGAATACAATATGTTTGGCATAATGATCTAATTAAAAGAACATATGTCTAAAATGATTTAGTAAATATCATGACTAAAAATGAGCAAATACCAAATAAATATTTTGAATACGTAAGGAGGACTTGTAAATGGCTAGTATAAAGCTATTTCCTCTGCCCCCCCCCCCCCAAAAAAATAATTGCACCAAAACAATGCTTGCCTGGATCTAACATGAATCTGAAAACCGGAATTTTACTAAGTTACAAATAAGCATTTACACTTACCTCCGAGCTGTCACTGTTAGCCAGAGTTTCATTGTATGTATGAATAACCGTTGTTGAAATCCTTGAAAATGTCTGAAACGGAAATGTGATGAATAATTGATATTATATTTTAAAATAAAAAAGTGGGTGACCAAAGTAAACTTTTTGATGTTTACGTTTATAAATGATGACGTCAATTACATTTCCAGTTTGAGATAAGAGCCACGTAAATTCTAGCAATTGGATGTTACCTCTACAGTCTCTGAGTTAGTGATCTCAACCTCTGACATGTGGGACAAAATCTGGGTCACGACCTTTGTGTCAGTTTCGCTGCTATTCACAACGACCTCGAGTTGTGTCGCTAATTCGTTGACTTTCTCTAAGGTCATGTTTGGATTAAGGGTTCTGTTTGATTGTTCCTTGATCTAAGAACCGAAAAATAATTTTCACCAATTAGGTACTGTTCAAACTGTTTATTTTCATTTAAAGATACAGCTTTTCTGATTGAAATTTTCCTCTTTATGTCTAAGTTATAACATACATTTTAACTCTACTGGACAAAAAGTCTAAATTCCTATTAAAATCATCACAAGTATTTGCAGTTGTTTTCCAATTTGCATCTTAAGAAAAGTGGAATCTTGGAGCAACTACAGTCTACTGTGTAATCTGTTTCAGTTTTATTTTCCAACTAAATATGGTTACTTATGGAAAAACAAAGAAGTGTACATGTATGCATTTTTAAAAGAGTATTACCATGCATGTTGGAATCTTCAAATATCTGTATGCATATAGTCTGGCAAATATTAAATAAATGCTTAGTTACATTGGGAAAAATACTTCAAACATGTCCCTTACTTATGCATAATTTGCATAAGATTAGTGTATTTTTTTGTTTGAATACATGTATATATTTTTTAATCATTGAATTTTACAGAAAATACTGATAATAGTTTCTTAGACCAACAAAGTAGGCTTTATACCATCGTCGGAACCCATGGGTTTTCTCTCTGGTACGCTACATTCAATGTAGTGTAATGGAGAGAAAACCCGTGAATTTCAACGATGGTTTTATACACATTTCAGTTATTATGCTTAGAATACTTTTTATGGAACTTTCACTTACCGATTCGACTTGCAAGTTTTGTTTTAAAAAAAAATTTAAAAAACAGTCTGTAGAAGTTTAGCAATGTACTGAGTATAGACTGTACCACTGATGAGAAAAAAAATTATGAAATGTAATTAATTACTGTATCGAGATCAATCTGAGAAGAACGAGTTATATGAGATCCTGAAGTCGTTCTGTGGGTCGTGATGACTGGTGGTGTTGGCAGTGGAGGTATTGCGGATATATTTATTCCTCCAAATACATCTTTTGCGTCATAATACAGATTAATGGCATGTATGATATCTGAAAGATACACAACTATGAAATCAGCAGAACACTTGCGTATTCAACTTCATTTCTACTATGCAGTGAATTTGGGTATGAAATGAATTTTAAACAAAGTTTTAAGAAAATAAATCCTTTAAGGAAAAACATCTTTATTAGATCAAACCATTTAATCTTAAATGTCAATATACTTTCATCAATTGTTTTAAGAAATGTTTGACTGTCTCCTATGCAGAATTGTAAAATAACGTCATTGATGTTTATTAATTTCTTCAAGATACCCACCTGTGATATTTGTACAGTTGTATCTACTCAGGGTCGCTTTATTTATTGGCAATGGGGGCGTGGTACAATTCGCCGACTCCAGTGGTTCTCTGTTTTTCATGTGGTCCATAAAGCACTGAAACTCGATTTTGGGAGAATCTACAATCAATCATTTATTTGTTATATCTATTTTACAAATTAATATGACACATGTTAGTTGTGAAAGTTAAAACAAATATATATTGTAACCAAAACCAAATACATGTAGTTTCGAACTAATGATTACAATTTATATTTTCTGCATAAATATTCCAAATTAATAGAAACTACTGATACCGGTCATAGTTAAAATAGATAATTTTTACAGAGCTTCACATAAAATACATCGTGTCAGATGTACATGTAATTTTAATAAACGAGTAAAGGGTTTATTTTTCTCAAGATTTTTGTGATTTCTTTCTTCTTCTTCTTTTTTTTTTTTTAATTTTCATTGAAAATGTTGTAGTTGAAGTATTATTTTTTTAATTCTACTTAAATGTATTTTTGGGGGCTTTAACTTTTTATAGAGATCAGAATTCAGTAAGTAGGTTTCATACTCAAGAAATTCAAAGATCTATTTTATTAGGTAAATTTATTAATTGGTACAACTGAGATTTTTGTTGTTGTCTCGTTGTAGTTTGCTTACCATTTAAATGAAGACACCCATATGTGGTCAGTGGATCATCTGCGACAGGCGGATAAGGTGGCTGGAATATACCTAATTGTAATACGCCAATAAAGATACTATATGTAAAACATTCCATTAACTATAGGCATAATTGTTGTATCCAAAATGATTTGTATGCATAAATACATGTATACTTTCATTATACAGAAAAATATGGCGAAAAGTTGGGAAAAGCCATGATCATTTATTTTATCAGTTACTGAAAAAAAAATTAACGAACTAAATAGTATGGCATTATAGAGAAGCCGTCTTACTACTGAGCGGATTGAGACAGTTGATTTTGTCTTTTAGGTCGGCGTGTGATGCGTTCTCGTCAGTTTTGGTGCTGTTTAGAACGTGAGGGATTAGACAAGCCAGCTGGGCATCTGTTGCCAGTCACGGATTAGTGGTGAATGAAGCATACAAATAAAAATAATTATGATACTTATTTTGTGATTTTACATTTTGAATCTTATATTTCAAAATTCTTACTTTTTATTAAACTGATGCATGTAAATATTTTTCCTATACCAAATAGCTACGAACACCTACAGATAAATGAATGATACGTTAAATTGCTTAATTTTAGGTGAGTACATAATATCGGAAAATGAAACGAGGACGTCAAATCGCGGAAAATGAATTCAGAAATGGACTATTCATCATGAGGTTTTATATGTACATGTATTTCAGCAAGTGAGTATATTTTAATTTTGCGATCTTTGTTTCTTGTAGGTGATAATAAATCCCTCTTGGATATTTAGAAATCTACAGTAGACAGATTGATTTACTCTGTAGCATACATGCATTTGGATTGCTCAGTATTAGAAAAGTGAATATAAAACATTCAGTAACTCCTTGTGTGTATGTATAAAAAACTATTAATCATTATTTTTTTTTAAAAAAATGTTGTTTTATAATTATATAATTGTGATAATTTTACATTTAACTTATATCTTTGTGATCAATAAGACTAAAACTGAGCATTAAATTTCACAAGAAGAAAGATTTCTTTACGATGAAATGTACATGGCAACAATAATATAATTTTGTTTCAATCCGAGCATCTAAATTGTTTTTTTTTCCAACGAAAACATGAACTACAAAAATTTATAAACGCTTAATTTATTTTTTATAAATAAAATATTATTTTACAATTTTAAGGTAAGAATTTAATTTTTAAGCACAAAAATTGCAACTTTTATTGCTTTAAACTGAATGAACGAAAAAACAAACGTTATTTTTGTTAACAGAAAAGGAAAGGAAGGTATGTGTACGACGAAATAATCATTGAAGCATATTGAACTATCAGCCTTTACTATTGGGTTATCTCTGCCTAGCCTTTTCATTGATATCAAGTTACCAAATTATCATCAAGGTAGGAAATTAAAAGTTTAGCAAGTTCCAACAATTTGATTTATTTGTAATAACAAGGGGCATGGGCGGACGTGCATGCTAACAAAAAATCAATCTTGAAAATTGTTATTTATAGAAATAAATCGGTAGAATACCACAGAACTAACTTTGGGCATACCCAAATAGTTTTTATCAAATTTTGATCGAAACACAGTGACCCTTTTACTTCCTATTCGTGTTTTCAAAATTAATATGCGTTACATGATATCACTTCTCTTTGAGCTATTTGTAAATTTACTTTTCTCGGCAGTCAAAAAAAAAAAAAAAAGATCACCGGCTCTTGAAAATGTGTCAGTCAAAAAGCATTATTTTATTATTTTATTTATTATTATTATTATTATTATTATTATTTACAAATAATTCATAGAGATAAAAAGGTTGCATAATCAATAACTTGTTATGCACATCAGAAAACATGGTTAGGAAAAAAGTGTGCGGTCCCAATTTAAAAAAGAAATGGGGGGGGGGGGGGGGGTGCCTGTGCACATATTAATTGAATTCTGACAGAGAGGGATTAAACAACAAGGTTCATGTAAAGTTGAAATATTGCAGTCAATCGATGATTTTTTTTTCAACAGATGATCCCAGGCCATAATACATGTATAATAAAATAAAATAAAAAATAAATAAAAATCTTTATCGATTCTATTTTTGTTTTTGTTTTTTGTTTTGCCTTGCATGGGAGAGTAAAAATGATACCCCCCCCCCCCACCGGTAGGACAACTGGGTTCTTACTTTAATCCTTCGATCATTATAAAGTTTTTATATCTAAATACATTGTATTAAGAAATAATTTCTATGTCGAAATAATTTTTGTTTAAAAATTTATAATTTCCTCTTTATATTGAGAGTATATTAGCATGGTAGTTCTGCTGGGGGACTCGGCATCCCTTAACCCGTTAAATTTACGATGAATCACCGTTTCATTCCACTGATGAAATTTTCAATTTTCTTCCATTTTGATTTAAAAAGTTTGAAACCACTCAGAATGTGACCCCTTCCTCCAACTCACCACTTATGGGAGAGAGGAACGGTCATCAATGACGAGGGCCGAGCTGGGCGGTAAAGCCTAGCAGCCCTCGCCCGCTTCACGCTCAGAAGGGGCCACTCTGCCTCATCGTCATGGTTTCTGGATCACACAGTTTTACCTGGTGTCCCGGCGATACATACTATAGAAATGATCCCTAAGAGTATGATCTTAGTGCCACGTGGTTTACTGTTCACTTATATACTTAGTACTTTGCAATAGTGATAAATTATATATATTTTACATACTTAAGAAATACTTTTATGTTTTCTTTTTCGGCTTAGTTTTAATTCTAATACTGCTTCTTTAGATAATACTAGAAAGTAATGAATTCTATTATTGTCTAACAATGTTTAATATCAACAAAAGATAAATATTAACAATATTTTTATGTTGTGCACAAGCGGATCAGTATTTTCAAGGTATGTATGTTGAAGCGGCGATCTTCAAAGAAAGATAATCCAACATGTGTCTGTAGGTATGGAAAGATAACCCGTTAAGCTTGTAACATTTAAATGAAATTTAATCAGGATAAATTATACATTTATGAGTACTATTTTCTGGAGTTTATTAATATTAATATTAGTTGATTAATATTTGCGTTTATTTTGTACCAAAATTATTTATCAATATACTATTTTAACATTTTCGAGAGATCTAACGCAGATTTTTTTTTTATTGATAAAAATGTCAAATTTCAAGACAGTAGTAGTATGTAAGACTTTATTGTGTAGCTACATAATTATAATGTCATAGCCAGAAAAAGTCATAGTTTTAAAAAATTAATCAGTAAAATAATAAACAAAACATATCGCATAACTTACCAAAATCTAGAGCTTTCTTGGTAGTAGGTTTTATTATCTCTGAAAATACATGTACTGATTTGAATGTTATACATGCATATATGTTAAGAAATGTCAAAGTCAGCTTGAGAAAAAAAAACCCAATACTTAACAAGAAGATTCCTTAATTGTTATATAGATGTATTTTAATTTAATTAAATTTACAGTTTTTCTGTATAGTAGTTAGTCCCTACTACATACCTGTGATATTCTGGGCTGTATCATTTTCTGGCGTAAATAAGCGCCCCTTGATTTTTGGCAGAACATGTTTACTGATAAGTTTGCTAAAATCTAGCCCTCTAAATGTACTCTCATCTTCAAAGATAGATATGAAAAAAGAAAAAAAAAATCATAGAAATTAATAGATAATCTATTCACAATATATTTTCTCCCAAACTAGTCACAGTGCATTCTGATTGGTAAAAAATTGAACATGTTGAACGCATGCTCAAAACTTCTCATTTTGGAGAAAAAAGTATAGCAGAAAAAAAAAGAAAATTCGGAGTAACCACTCCAGTTGATTTTGAAAATAAAATAAACATTCTCAGTATCTGACTGAACGATCAATATTTATATATGACCCACTGAATGTATTTTGTTCATTTCTTCCTTAAGCATTTTCGAGATCATGTACCTAAAGGTACATGTATAGTTTATTGCACTTAAGGACACTAAAATTTTATTCCTTTTTTCTTGGAAGTTTTATCTCTAGGTTTAAAATAAAAACATTAATCACATATATGCATTTTATATTTACGGAAGCCCATTTAGGACCTATCAAAAAATATTTTCAAATTCGATATAACGAATTGTAGAATTTGTTATAACAAATTTAATTCGTTATGACAATTTCTTTGAATTCGTTATAACAAATTTAATCTGTTATAACAAATTTGTTGAATTAGTTATAACAAATTCAAAAATTTGTTATAACGAATTAAATTCGTTTAAACGAATTCTAAAATTTGTTATAACAAATTTAATTCGTTATAACAAATTCAAAAACAATCGGGGCCTATAGAAAAATATGTATGAATTCGATATAACGATTTGTCGAATTCATTTTAACGAATTTAAGTTATTATAACAAATTAGAGAATTCGTTTTAACGAATTTAATTCGTTAAATCAAGTTTTATAATTCGTTATAACGAATTTAATTCGTTATAACAAATTTTTGAATTCGTTATAACGAGTTCAATAAATTTGTTATAACAGATTAAATTCGTTATAACGAATTCAAAGAAATTGTTATAACGAATTAAATTCGTTATAACAAATTCGGCAATTCGTTATATCGAATTCAAAAATATTTTTGATAGGTCCTAAATGGGCTTCCGTATATATTCATAAATTATTTTTTATTAAAAAATTTCAAACTATCTAAAATATTTTTCTATAAAAATATCTGACTTTTCATAACACGTTTTATTAGATATCTATTTTGTGCATTTATTTAAAGTAACTTTTATAATCTAAAGCATATTATTTGCAAATATTTACATTTCCAATGTCTTTGTCCGAGATAAAATTTCAAATAGTAAAAATACTTTATTTCTACATAAATCTACTGGTTCATCGATAGGCGTGGTGAAAAAAAAAATCACGTGCGGGGCGGGACAAATAGAGACAGAAGCGGGGCTTGTAGCACGTGAATTTGCAGAATCAAGAGCATGTAAATATAAGGAATAACTGTCAGATTTTTTGGTTTCATGACGATGATCAATCGATTGGCTTGCGTGATAATTTTATGCATAAACGCCTTCGGCGTTTATGCAAATTATCACGCAAGCCAATCGATTGATCACATCATGAAACCAAAAAATTAGACAGGTATTCCTTAAATAAAACAATTTTTTACATTTTCTTTGAAAAAATACAAAATACAAAATTAAAAAAAATAAAAAATAGAAATAAAAAAATCTTATAAAATCATTAAGATCTAAAATCAAACTTTCCATCCTGAAAAACCGTGAAAAGAGATGTCTTAAACATTTTGGTGTAGCATTCCACCTCAGATTATACTTTCTCACCCCGTATTTTGTAGTAAAATCTGAGCATAGCTATGCCCAATGAACCTACATAAATGCACCACATTATATTCTTAAAAAGTTAACTTACTTAATTGTGCCTTAGTTAAAATTCCAATATACAATAAAACTGTAAAGATGAGCAGGCTTTTGAAAAGCTCCATTCTCTTTCACAAAACTAGAAATCCCACCTTCTCTTGAACTGATGTTTGTTCGATCATGACGTCATTTTCTGTTTGGACATTGAGATTTATATGTGACCAGCACATGTTCTGACAACAGAGACGGTGATGTTTTCTGTTAAAGAGAGGGAATTGTCGATATTAATACTTTGATCCTATGGTTTAAGCTTGTAGAAAAATTATTACCATGAACCTGTGAACATCCCTGCATCACGTGTGGTCAATAACTGATTGATTTTCACCGATTTGGACAACGGGTACAAAGCACTAAAAAGTGAGAAAATAGATCAATTAATAATCTTCATCTTTTATTAATTTCTCTGTGCTTCCTTGTCAACCAAAACTTTCGCTACTTTTAAAAGATGTACCCGTACACTTAGCATATAATATGTAGAATTTGATAGCTCCAATCATATGAAAATATACTCTCTAAGCCCTGTAAGCATAGAATGTTATTATTTTTGATAACTGCGATCCCCGTTTGAACCTTTATCCTTTATAAGTTCATGAAGTGCTAAAAAAGGTTATTGCCATTTTTTTTCTTCTGTATTATGGTATGTTAGAAGGCTTTTTCTTTTACAAATACTTAGTTTATTTGTAGGACTGTATAGGACAGATTCATATCCCTATATATAGGCATGTTTAAGAGTTTTGTGAGGGTTAATACGTTTAGAATTCACTGATTTACAACCACGAAGAGTCAGTTAATATCATTGTTTTTAATTTCATTGAAGTGTTATAAAAATATCTAAATTAGAATTTTAAAATATTATCAGCAAATGTAGACTTCTATATGGTTTACTTTCAATGAATCTCGCAGAGTTAAACTGGGTGCTTTAAGGAAGAATATATTCAACCGGTATTTATCGCCAATGTTACTTATGAGAACCATTGTATGATATTTGAATTGATGAGTAGATTCTCTTACATGTATACCCCTTTTTTGGTGTCCACTTTTTGGATATAAAGCATGTAAAGGGTCTTCGTATACAGACGGTTTACATGTTAACATTGAGATAAACTATTAACCGACACATTTCCTCATTGACATAGGAAATACAGCTTAAAACCCCGTCCTAGTGGTTCGAATGCGTCTAGCCATTGACCGAAGTTGATGAATATTTTTGCCAATACAAACCAGGCTGCGTTCCAGATCGTGGGATTATAACGTAATAGAACCTAGCTGCAATGAATGAACGCACATTTCAGCATATACTACTACGTAGTTCAAGATCTTAGATCTACGTAGCCGCTACCATCGTGAACGCAGCCTTGATCTGACCACAGAAAATGCACTCATATTACTGTTATAAAATCATTTTGAAAGTAGTGCAGGTTGTCCATAGTTTGTAACTATAGCCGTTTTATATAAGATTGATAAATCATATACGGTACCAGTTTTGATGCACCAGATGCGCATTTCGACAAATTATGTCTCCTCAGTAATGTTCAAGCCGAAACGTTGGAAATCCAAAATATTTAAATAAAAAAAAACTTGGAACAGCTGAAAAAAGGTGCCAAAGACTGGAGCCAAATACGTCGGAGGAACAGAGCTATGCCTTATAGGGAGATAATCCTTAATTTTGAAATAAATTTCTAAATTTTACAACAGCAATTAAATATATATCCGTATTTTCAAGCTAGTACCGAAGTACTAGGTTATACTGGGCTGTAGAGACCCTCAGGGACTAACAGTCCACCAGAAGAGGCCTCGACCCAGGGCTCATAATGTAAATCATATACAGTACCAATTTTGAGGCATCGGATGCGCATTTCGACAAATTATGTCTCTTCAGTGACGCTCCAGAGAAATATCGACTTTACAGAAAAGCATATCGACCGAGCACGAAGTGCGAGGTCAATGTACTTTTTTGGAAGTCAAAATATCTATGGATTGACTGAATGAAAGGGCTTTATTTGTTATATTTTCTATTAACTATTTTTTAAAAGGAATTATTTGTTATATAATTTTCTTTAAAGGCTGCATTATTTGTTTTTTAAAGGAAGATTACAAAACGCGAAGAAAAAAATATGGGAACATTAATTGCAAATAATATATCTTATATATTAATATTGAATACCGGTAGATATCCGAGTTTTCGCAGAGTTCGCCATGTGAATCGGAAAAGAATTCTGATTTGATTCAAAATCAGCAATTCACTTTATTTATTTATTTATTTATTTATTTATTTATTTATTTATTTATTTATTTACATGTAACAAAACTTTCCTTATCTATAATTAGAAAATACAGTCCAATCTCAGTTTTTACGTCTATAATTAGAAAGACCCGCGGTCTATCCGCAATTCTACACTTAGACACGTGGTATTAACGAACCAATGATAAAACTTATTACATGTACTATGTATGACAAAAATATACTAGTATTACGATAATGTTTAAACTTTTTGTTCAACTTGAACTACCATTTTTCACTGTCTGAACTTTTTTGATTCGGTCACGATTGAAATGGTCTCGATCTATATCTGTACAATTATTGTTTCAGGACGAGGCGAAGAAATAAAGGTGCGATACTTATGGACATGCATGAATAATGTGCTTTGTGTTGAAAAGAAAGTATTTAATTTTCACAAAAAATGATTAAGAATTCAATATACTGAAACATGATCAATGTAAAAAAAAAAATTAAGCATAGAAGATACAACATCATTAACATCATTGAAAATCGCTTAAAAAGATGTAAATATTGGAAATCACAAACTCGTCGTGACTGTCAATTCCTTCTAATTAAGTTTCCATCCAGAAAATGCTGTACGTCCACCAGGTCCGCTTTCAATGTTCCCAGCATTGGCCCCGGACTGTGTCCTAATGAAAACGTCATCCCCTTGATTAACGTGAATGACTAGCGTATCGCTGACTGTATGGTCACCCGTGGGGGCGTAGAGATAGGCCACACCCATAACGTTGTGATTGTGCACCAGTTCCGCTTGGTGATAAGCACCGTTAACTAAACGCATGGACCATGTAAAAACATAAAAGCCAGTTCTGGGCACAATGAAAGCTCCAGTGGCATTGTGATAACCATTTCCAGCATTGGTGATTATTTTATCAAAGATTAAAGTGCGCGAGGCACCAGGATTAATGGTATCACCCGTCATATACGCATAAAAAGCTATGATGTCTTTACTTGCAGAGGGTGTTTGGGTTGTATCAAGCGGTAGTAATAGCCTTTCTGTGAATAAAAATGTTGTTTAATTCATTTGCTTCAGAGTATCATTTATTGAAGACAGTAAACAAATTTAAAACATTTGACTTTACACAGGCAATAGTATCGGAGGGGGGGGGGGGCAAAGATACTACAATTAGTGTGAAAGGCCGACCCCTCTTTTTCCTACTATTTTTTCGCAGCATATTCAACAAAATTTCTCGTTGGTAACGCAATTTTTGAAAAAAAAAAATCTTGTTGGTCGAAAAAATGGAACCTACCTCCCCACCCTTCCTCAAGGACTTATGTGTTCTGGATTTTTTTTCGCTTGTCAATTTATTTTTCAGGTCAAGTATGCCCCCCCCCCCCCCCGTTCAAAAACGATGCTACGTGGTGCCTGTAACAGTGATTTATTTTTTAACATGCCTTAAAGAAAAGGTCAGGATTTTAAAACCGTATTTGAGTAATATTTCAGTAGATGGATACCTTTTCTGACTTTAGATATACCCTTCAATTCTGTAGCTTTTGCCGACTTTTTAACTTCTTGCAATAAACTCTTATTAAATCCATTTTCATATTTTAACTTTGAATGATCATCGTTGCCCATACTGTTTTGAAGCATTTTCTTAATGTCCGACAGAGCACCAATGAGGTTTTCATTTTCCTTTTTCAGTTCAATTATTTCCGTTTTCTGCTGTTGAAAACCAGCTGAAAGTTCAGAAACTTTTCTCATAAGGAAGTCAATTTGCTGAATGTGAAAAATTTTCTCTTCGGAACATAACCTTTTTTCTTCGACATCCGCCGTGTGGATTTCCAATCCTTGATGTCCGGCCAAAACACAGATTCCATGAAGGAAACCGAAAATAACACACAACATGTTCATTATTTTCATGTTAACACATTGACTGATTAACAATACATCTGATCTCTATTCTTATCAGTTTTGACTGTTCTATTCGTCAAGAGCTAGAATTTAAGGCATTGGAATACAAAAGATATTCCTCAAGAAAAAAATGCATCTTGATTTACAGAAAAGTAGCTAATAATATTTGCATTACTTAAAACTTTTCAGCAGTATTTGACACGGTAAAGGATTAGTTGATCAAATGATTCAGCATTCAAACTCCACATAGGGCAACAGTTCATCCCTTGGGGGCTAACATAATCAATGTTGGTCCATGCATCAGACTCCGTCAATATTTTTGATACTAATAATCACGCATATATAAAAATCAGACCCGTTGCATCAGTTTCAAAAGAAAAGGAGGGGGCAACCTTAAAAAAAAAAACTGTCCAAAAAGTGTGTGTGCATGTGTGTGGGAGGGGGACTTCCCAAAAAATAATCTGACAAGCAAATTTAAAAAAAAAAAGAAAAAAGAAAAAAAAAGAACTCCGTAACTGTCTAAATCATGGAGTTTGCCAGTGCTCGAGCTTACAGCAACAAAAATCGGGGGACCAGCATCTAAAATATTTTTTAAAAAAAAGTGAGGGAGGGCTTCCCCCGCGTTCTACGGGCCTCAAAATATACACTTATTATTAACATGGTTTGAATGTTAAGTTTGATGCATGCATATAACAATACTGAATCTGACCTACATTTTTATTTTTTCAGTAAAGGGCGGGATCAAAAGATCGATGTATGATTTAAAAAAAAACACCAAATATTAAAATTCAGTTAGTTAGAGGCAAGAGGTTAAGAGCCCCCAAATATTTTTTGCTTCCGTAGTCGGTAGTAACATCAAAAAGTGCTATTTAAACATGAGACATGAAATTGTTATTTGAAACATTTTTTATTATGAATAAGCAAAAGGGTATATAACTGTGAAATTACTAATTTTCATGGGGGTTAGTTTTAGCTGATTTCATGGTATAAAGGAACCCATGAATTCATGTCCCCCACAAAATGTAAAAAAAAAATCTATATAACAGTAAAAAGTCTATCCTCCCCTCGAACCAGTATTTTTTCCTCAAAACACGAAAATTTGATCCCACGAAAACTAGTGATTTTACAGTATTGTAATAAATACTATAGTACTTGTTCAAATGAAACAACATTCATCATGTCAAGTTTTGAGAGGGGAAAGGGGGGGGGGTCTCCATGAAAATTATGATTTCGATTTTTTGTCAAACATTGAACTTGAAAACAGCAATGTGGACTGGTTTATTTTCAGTACTGCAAGTTATGTCAGAACCAAATTACCATTATAGGTATATTATACACATGTAATACATCTATATCTATAGATACTGATTTTTCTGAGAATTCTATTGACAGCCGCACAGTTTTAGCACAGTCTTTTATTTGGCCTCGTAGACTAATATGGTCATAAAAAAAATCATTGTAAGTGGTACATATGCATCTTTAGAGTGCAAAGTCTGATCCAGCTTATATTAAATCTGACAAATTTCATACTTCAGTTTATCCCATGTTTACCCCTTTATCCCGTGGATATGACTCATTGGATATTTTTTTCATAACCCACAGTTAAGTGCAGTTGTGACGTCATAATGGTTTTTGCGTTAGCGTGATGAAGTAAAATAAAGTGGAGTCCTATATAAAACAGTGTAAAACATTGGTAGTGAAGTATTAAACATGGGATAAAAAGAATCTCCCATGATTTGTAGTTGGATATGACTTTTATCCAACTCGTTGTGTGTTTTTATCCCCTCGCCAAGGCTCGGGGATAAAAAACACACAACTCGTTGGATAAAAATCATATCAAACTACAAATCATGGGAGATCCTATATATAAGAGTAAGGCCTGATCACAAGTGGCTCCAAATCACCTTAAACATATGACAGAGTCTGGCACTTGTTTTAGATGCCGTAGCTGACCAATAATACACGCTACAGCGACTCCTGTTAAAGACAGCATCTGTGTATGCTAACAGCTTATTGTGATAAGTATAAACCAATCAACTACACAGGTATAGCTATAGCTGTTATTTGATGTATGGATCACTTGTTATGCTTGATACAACCAAGTGATTCTGGTAAAAATTCTAGTTTAATATATTCTGATATTCAAAATTTAATATAAACAGGATGGATCTACATTGTAACAATATTTTGCTTGACACATGAATCATATTCTTTACATGAACCCATTTTATGTGTATTTCTTATCTAAATAGATAATTTTTGGTTCCAAGGTCATTATACATGTAAGAGTTGCAACAATTTTTTCCATTTGATAAAATTCGGTCATTTTAATCTTTGAGCATCACTAGTGCTTCTTAGAAGCAATTTCACGGCCACTTCAATTCAGTACTCGTTCCTGATTTGTAGTTTTTCTTATTAATCTCAGACTATGATGCAAAGGTTTCAGAGACATATACCATGATATACACTGTATTTCAAATTGATGAGTCTCAAAATGCTATAAATAATGTAAATTTTATTAATTTAAAACATGCAGTCAATTAGAAGATTTTCTCTTGTTATGCCACCATTTAATCACAGCTTCCCTCTTCTTCCAGATGAGATCCTGGCCATATTTCACATACCAACTAAAAAACAAAGTTTTTGTATTTATTTTTTGGTATACATGTAGAAACACAAAGAATTTTAGTCAAAATATTGAAATTTACACATCGTTCCAAGTAAAATACTTACATGCCAAATAAGGCTCCACCTAAATGTGCAGCATGATCAAAAAACCTCCATCTAAACACAACTCCCAAGATATCAAAAGTTAGCAGTCCTAGTAAACCCTGGTGATGGAATTAAAATACACTGTAAGTATGCCTATGTTATATTGCATTATCTGTTAATTAAATTCTGCTACTCATGGGAAATCAGAAAAGAGTAGCATTTGAATACACACAATTATGAGGATTTATAATCAGTGGGTGAACTTAAAGGCAGAGATTTTAAGCACCGCCTTCCAAAATACCTGGTCTGTGTACCCCTGTCAATCAAGTGCATTAAGGTACATCATTGGGTGCTAGAACTTGATTGACATTTACTTACTAGTCCCTGTGTATACCCTGTACACATTGTTTGGCACTCGTGGTGACCTTCAAATTAACATTTGATCCTTTGATATTTACCACACATGGTATAAACAATAGAGAAGCTGTATTACTATAGAATATTTAGCTTGATAATATATATACACACCTTTAGTATCTAAAATAATTATGATATTCTTTATAATAATATATATCAACATTTGGTATAACTTTTTTTTCAAAGCTCAACAAATATTTTGATAATTAATTTTTTTTTAATGGGTGGGGATGCTTTGACACACATTCAATTACAATTAATAAAAATTATTTAGATTTAACTTTATTTACAACTTTTTATTTCTAACTTAAATCATCTCAAAATCCCAACATAGGTAAAGTTTGACTTCTTAGGTACTCCACTGTGTATTAAATCACTTCCTGTGTATAGGGATTTGGAGACAGATGACCACAGGTAGTCTGCTAGCCCTCAAGGCATTCACACATGTACAAAATAAGCCCCTCCCTCACCTGTAATTTACCGGTTAACGCTAGATGGTACAATGTACAGGTAGGCGAACACAAGTTATCGTTCATAGTACGAGTTATCGTTCATTATGTAGTAGATATATTCACTCGTACGTGGAATATTCGACATGTGTAAAATACAAATGAAATATTCTTCATTAATACTAATATTCACAGGTAATTTACATTTATTTCACTAGCAATTCACAATTGGTAATCAATTGGTAATTGGTATGAAGTCTTACAGGTAAAAGTAGAAATACTAATCCATATAAACAATGTATCCATTTGAATTAATCATCAAATATGGATAAATTGATGACAAGCGTGGATTTATTCAAATTCAAAATAAAATTCGTTGAACTATATTATTAGATATATTTTTTTTCAATATCCATTTGTATTTCGATTGATACAATGTTTATGTGTATTGGGAATAGAAAATCCGCGGGGGGGGGGGTGTTATTATCCCCTGCAAACAGGCACGTATCGTTATATATGAACATTTAAAAAAACATATGTCTAAAGGCTGCTTTAAGATCCCGCCCCCATTTTTACAGCCAATCCAACCCTGATGACCTATGCTCGGCACTTAGGTCCATTGAGCAGTGAGGTATCTTTTTCGTGCCAGCACCTAGTGGGATACGGGACCTCGGTTTATATGGTCTCATCCGAAGGACCGGTCTCCACGTCCCGCAGTGGACCAATTCGAACCCGCGACGTAAGGATCAACTCCTTATAATTACTCCGCGACTCTAGAGCAGACGCTCTTACAACTGCCCCATGCAGGCGACATTCCATAATTGAAAGATGGATTTTTTTTTAAATCGACCCAAGTTGTAAGATAGAAATTACTGTAGTATTATTTTCTTTATTTTAATAATATACTCATACCTAAACTACTACTGAGAAATATGCCTATATTAGTAAAGAAACATTTTCTATCTTCTTTTGATTTCAAAAGTTTTTTTTTCTATTTTACCTGAATGTCTTACTTAGCGCAAAGATTTTATTTTCACACAAAACTCACGGTTTACCGAGGTATATCCGAACGCAATACAGCAAGACATTTGTTAATATATCAACTTATATTCCTCGTCATTTGCTACTCCCAATTTTTCTAGTTCATGCACATTTCACACTAGGTGATTTCGAGCTATTTTTTCCCTCGAAAGTACAAATATATATATTTCTAAACAATGCACCTAATTTCTCTACCTATTTTTGACAGGTATCAGATTAATGTTAGACATTTGTTTGTTTGTTTAACGCCCCTTCGAGATTGTTTACTCATATTGAGACACCAGCATTTACCGGTGGAGGGCTGCAAATTTAGACCTGAACTTGGCACTCAGGGCATTTTTAGCAGTGTGGGATTTTTTTTTCTTCTACCGCGACTCGGGACTTCTGTTT